AGTTAAAGATGTCTACCTGCTTCCTCAAGCTCTTTATTTTCAGAGCGCCATGCATTTAATGCTGGGGTCATCGGGGGCAGCAAAACAAAATCTAAGAGGAGAAGGGGAATCAAAGTTGCCTTAGAAGAAAAGAAAACCAGAGTTAGCACAAGAAATGTTTCCCCAGGGGATTGCTAAGCAGTAACAAAACAGATTCCCAGCTTCTGTTCAGATCGTATTCCCTTTCTTGTCACCTCTGAAACTTTCTGCCCCCACAAACCCATCGACACATCAACACACGTATTTGAAGGAGCCGAATAACTTAACCAGCTCAACTTTATTTTCCATTTGCTGGACGTTTGAAAGAAAAGAAAGGCTTCCCTTTTTGAAACATAAATCTAATTCTTTACTTCCTGGGTCATTGCTGATGTAATACATAAACACATTGAGCTCCAGCCTTTAACTTATTTTTATTAGTTAAGGATACATTATAATATTACATTACTTCATCCTGATCAAAATTCTTACGTCGAAATCTCCTCATTTATATATTATGAATTTGAAAGGAGCATTAAAATAACAAAACATCCTTATTATGGGTTTTTTTTCGCCACATTGAAAGTCAATTACCTATTTAATGAATGCATCTTAATGAAATGTCGTTGTCTAATATAATTCGCATGTAATATGTATAAGGATGCTCACTTGCTCTGTGTGTTTAGATAATACACAAAGCTTTTTAATGACGTGTTGAAAGATTTATAAGTACCCTCTTAAACATTCTCTGCAGGACGCTCAGAATAACTACAATAAAATTACCAGCAACCAAACAAGTAAAACACAGTGCTGAAAGGACAATGGCAAAATGGTGTGGAAATTGCGTTTAAATATGATGTCACTGTACTTTAGTGGTTAACGATAAAGAGGCCTAGATAACTCACAAAAACTTGAACGTGAGAAAATGTAATTAAATGTTGCTGCTGCGGGTGCCTGCATTTCAGTTATTATGTGCTTCTGTAAATAAGCATTTATTGATTTAAATTTACTGAAAAATATTAAAATATATTTAGGTTTTTTTCAATCAAGGCTGTGATTGTGTCAACTGTATTTTTGATTAAATAAACCTTTGATTTTATGGGCTTGATGGGAACTAGTGAATCCCAGTTTGATTTATGTACCAGTGGAGCTGATCGTTTATAGCAATAATGAGGCCCAGTGATCTTATTATCAAAACACTCAGTGAGTTAATTTAACGTTCTGTTTTGTTATGGATTAAGGAAAAAAAATAGGAAGATAAATTGCCACCTTTAAAAGCGCTAGCAAACAAGTGATATATTCCTAGATCAAAGACAAACTTGAGAAAAGTCTATATGTACAAGGTATGAGTCAGTCAAGTAACGAACTGCTTTACCAAGTCAACATTAAACATAGAATATTATTTTCTTACTCAGTTTTCCACCTTGCATTTTTTTAAATTCTTGATATATAACACCATCCAGTTTTCCTCGTTTATCTGTAGTATACCCGCAGCTGTGCAAACTTCAATTTAAATTATGTTTATTGTCTCTTTAGTGGAATTGGGTAGCTGTTGATCTATGCTTTAGATTTACATTGGCATAATCTAGTCCCATGTAAAAAAGAAATGTGCTGGCAGTGATATGTGGGCTAGGCAGAGTCTTATTTAACAAGGTGTCTTGTAAGGAAAGGCTCTCCCTACATATACAGGGTATTTGTTGAGTGGCAGGTCAGTTCAAACTTGAAATATGTTAGAATCTTGCAGACCCTTATTAGCAGTTTCTAGGCATTGTCGAAAAATGTCCAAGGTTAGCAAATCCCCAGAAAGACACCGAGTCTTTATCACTGATAGAAGGCTAAGCATTTGGGATTTGAGGATCTATAGTTTTTTTTTTTTAAGTAATTTTTTTCTGCATGCTATTTTTTTTTCACTGTGAAAAAGTAAATTACATATTTTAATGTAAAAATAAATGCATTAGCATTATTTGTTTAATTAACCAGTGGTACATTTTGTATGTTTCAGGGTTCACAATATGAGCTGAAAGACAACCCTGGCGTCCATGCTGCCACTTTTGCTGCACACACCGCCCCAGGTTATTACCCTTATGGACAATTTCAGTATGGTGACCCAGGCCGGCCTAAAAACGCCACCAGGGAAAGTACCAGCACATTGAAGGCCTGGCTGAATGAGCACAGGAAAAACCCTTACCCCACCAAGGGCGAGAAGATCATGCTGGCCATCATCACCAAGATGACCCTCACCCAGGTCTCCACCTGGTTTGCCAACGCCAGGAGGAGGCTCAAAAAAGAGAACAAGGTGACCTGGGGCGCCAGGAGTAAGGAAGATGACCATCTTTTTGGGAGTGACAACGAAGGGGACCATGAAAAAAATGAAGACGACGAGGAGATCGACTTAGAAAGCATAGACATTGATAAAATAGATGATAACGATGGGGAGCAGAGCAACGAAGACGAGGATGACAAGCCTGAGCACTTGAGGCAAAGTGAGAAAGAAAGTTTAAAAAAGGAAAGCGAAGTCCTGTTGGCGGGGGCTGATGGACTTAAATCAAAAGACTCTTTGTCACTGACGAAAGAACTCTCTGAAAGCAACAATACCAGAATCGTGAGTCCCGGCGGACAGGGGAATTTACAAGTTTCACCACATAGCAAACCAAAAATCTGGTCTCTTGCAGAGACAGCGACCAGTCCCGATGGTGCCCTCAAGTCCTCTCCTTCTCCTCCTCAAGTAAATCACGCTTCTCCACCCATTCAGCACCCGGCCTTCTTACCCAGCCATGGACTGTACACATGCCAGATTGGCAAATTCCACAACTGGACAAATGGTGCTTTCCTCACTCAGAGTTCTCTGATTAATATGAGGTCCTTGTTAGGAGTAAATCACCACCACGCTTCTCATCACAACCACCACCACCTCCAGGTCCACCAGCAAGCACCTCTCTTAACAGCCAACTTGGGGTCTCTCAGCAACGACAAAAGCACTGAGAGGACCAGTCCCAAGCACACAGGTGAATAAATACACACTATACACAAGTCTGTTTTTGCTATTAACTCAGTGCTTACCTTTCTGCAACAGTAGTGCCCAGGATGTATTATTTAACTGCTAAAATCACATGCAGTCTGTGGGGTTTAATTGTGCTGCCTAGATAAGTGTATTTTAATGTTTTTTTCTTCTTCACAGACAGAGAAAATGTCCCAAGTACCGATTCCCCCACACAGTTGAAGTCCTCATTTCAGGCTGCAAGAGAAAAGTAAGTTGAACACCTCTATAAATGAATATTTTAGAGGATATTTAACTAAAAATAAACTGCTTGATGTTAAAGCTATCATACATATGTTGTATAAGACCAGTATAAAACTGACTTTAAAAACTTTTAGTTGGCACCATGCAAGTGCAAAGACAATAAACTTTGTAATTATGTACAAAACGCATAGCCTGCTATTTATTCCCTTTTCCTAACATTAACTTTTTTCTCCTGTGTTTTTTTCTTCCCCCAGCTCCTTGACACAACAAGAGGGAACAGCTCGCATATTAACGGCACTTCCTACAGCCTGATTGCTAAATCCTCAGCAGTGATTAAGAGACTGTTTAAGCATTATGGACAATAATGAGAATAACTGTTTTCCCATGTCTGTTTTTTTCTGTATATAAGGTGATCTGAAGTATGTAAATAGCGCGTCAACAAAACTTGTCTAAAACATATATTTTTGTCTAATAAAGTAAATGAAATTATAATATATACGATTTGATGTTTTCTAGTTTCCCCCCTAACCATATTGGTCATAAAAAGAAGTGAAGTTATTTTTAACGCTTTCAGATTATATCATTCCCCATTGCTTTTTTTTTTTTTCTCTTTACCCTTTGTTTAAGCAGACAATTTCCATTTTAATGTCAGTCATTATGAAGTGAAAGGGATACGCTGAAACAATTTGTCACGCTGTAGTTTATGGTGATTACTCTTATGCAGCAGTTGGAACAATCTGGTCCCTTGTATAATTCCTTATCAACCCTTACGCAATTCAGTGTTTTTTGTTTTTTTTTTTAAACTTCTCTGAATCGCCTTTTTTTCCCCTAACCGCTGTCTTTCTGATATTGATTACAATTTAACTGTATAGATTTTAAATAAGGCATTTTAAAGACAATTGTTGAGCTAATCCCTGTGGAGTGGGTAGTTAACACCTAAGCAGCTCATAAGGTAGCTGATGTTTATGACTCAAGCTAACAGGGAAGAGTAGTAAGTTTTTCTTCTTCTTTTTTTTTTTGTTTGAGAGCCTTTCGAAAGTAACAGCGCTAATTGTGTGAGCAGTTTAGGGATTTTAATGAGAATATGAAGAGCTAAGTATGAGCTTAGGAAAACAGAAGTGGTAGAAAGCCTAAGTGTGTGCGGACGCATTAGTTTAAACATTCATCTTCCGAAGACAATCTGTTAAAAACCTGCAATATTCTCAATGTTTCCTATTTTTTTTTTTTTCTAATTGAGAACACTAAACAAGCATTGAGGTGCTTACAAGACGCCAGATGGTAGTTCATACCAGAAAATGGAAGGAGGCAGCTGGGGAAGTCATTAAGAAATAATGTGGGGACGCCCTATTCAAACAATGCTAGCCCCAAACAAGCACTTGTCGGAAGCTAGAAAAGATTTCGGAATCAAATATTAATAAAGGTCCCATCAAATGTGAGGCCACTGATAAACACAGCAAAACAGATATCTCTTTATCAGCTAATTGTCTGTAGATGTTCAAATGCATCACTGATTTTACTTAACAAAGCAGGTGCTGGCCTGGGGAATGGGAAACCAACAGTGGAACCGGTTCAATAGCTGAACTATAGATTTTATATTTATTCAGAAAACGTATCAATTTTTAATAATAATAATAA